GTCGTTTCGAAGGCGGGAACGTTTGAATGTCAAGGGGTTAAACTGGTTCGATACATGCGGACCATCCAGTCTTGTTTTGGAAACGTGAAACCAAAATCGTGAGTCCTAGCACCGTATTTGGGTGTCTAGCAAGTCGGTCACGTCAAGGTGAAAATCGATTAAAATAAAATTCAGACATCTAAGTAAGCCATCCGACTGCGTCGCATAGCCGACGATATGGGCCTGCATTAATCTCTCGGTGTAACTCGCTCCGTCAGTAATGAAGGCCTCTGTGCTATTCGCTGATGGTGAATACCGATATCTGGACTTGATAGTTTAGGCGGGGTCCAGTCTTGTGCTTTTATGAAAGTCAAAAATCGTAAATCTTAAAGATTTATTTCAATGTCTAGCAAGTCAGTCACGTCCAATGGAAATCGATTCACGTTTAACTTAGTCATCTAGGTAGGCAATCCGACTATGTCGGATAGCGGACACAGTGATGGGCAGCAATAAGTGAGAATTGTCTTTGCAAAAGCCTATTAAAGTACATAATACATTAGGGCTGTGGGATCAAACTCGCTTCCTGCGCTGGTTCTTGCAATTCAAATTCAAAACAACCCAGGATCCACAATGTAAAACCTTCTATGTAGGTTAGGTCTCAAATTAACTATAGATATTATTTCAGATTTCACCTTTTGTGAGTTTAACTGACTACTACACTACATCAATATTCAATTGTATTATGAGTTAACAACATTGACCTACTCACCTTATTTGCCCTTAAATACTTTAACATATAATTGGAGGATTACTTCGGTATTGGTAGTATAGTAACACGAAGTTCCCGGGTTTGGTGTCATCGGGCATACCTTGCGGCATGACCTCCGACTACAACTACGGACCTTATATTACACTTTCGTATGGCCAGAGGACCGCCGGGGATTGACGACCGCACGTCGTCTGAGGACCACGAGCACCGGGCGCGCGCGGAGGGATTCTCCGGCGGGCCCGTACCATACAGCTAGGGCATACGGGTGCCTTTCGCCACCTTGGTGGGGTCGCAAACTATCCACGTTGCTTTCCGTTTTTGGTCACGGACAACCTTCGCTGTATATAGCTCCAACGATAAGCTGGGTGAGCGCTAAGGAGGGTCCAGGCTTTCTCGGCCGGCTGTCACCGTACGAGTCCGCCTGGCCCCATCACTCGGCAACTTTCCCCTGACCAAGCGTACGGTCTTTTCCCACATAGTTCGCTCCTGCAAACTGCCACTCCGAAACCAAACCGCCGTCGACCGCGGACAGTGTCCGCACGCGATCGACGTGTGAGGGCTCGGTGTTAATCTCTCAACACCGAGGGGCCCCCCCACATCCCGAAGTACCCTTCTCGCCTCCCGTTAGGTAAAGCACATCATTAGTGAGATGCTCGGATGAAGCTTCGTCGGCGACTGGCCTCAGCTTATGGTCCTCCCGAGATTTGGGCCGTGTACCGCGAGTTCACGGTGGACCCTTGCTCCGCCTCCCGGAGGCGTCACCAGGTGGTTAAGCCCAGTGACCGACCCGCTCTTCACGAGGTCGCGGTCAGAACCTCAACCACGCCCCTAAGGCGTCACCAGGTGGTTAAGCCCAGTGACCGATCCGCTCTTCACGAGGTCACGGTCAGAACCTCTCAACGCCCTAGTCCCCGGAGGTTTCGGTGCGTCCGCGCCCCGGGCGCCGACCCCGGCTGGCCTGTTCCCTTTTAGTCGCCTCGTATTACAAGCAGGGAATACTGGGGTAGTATTCTCCAAGGCCCCCACCCCAGGGCCTTGCTCCTCGTCCCTGACGTATGAGCACAACCCGGGCCAGAACGCGCTCGAGCGTGTTCCCCCGTTTCTGCCACTTACGCCATATGTGCTCATCGGGAACACCCCGAGCCTATGCCTTCCGTCTTTGGACGGGGCTGCGTTCTGACCCATATGGTCCTATGACCAATGCTTGGCCTTTCTTCGGACTGTTATTTTTCCTTTTGTGTGGTAGCGTTCTGCGTTCTACCTATCGGTCCGGTTTGTAAGTGCCAGTCTGGCAAATGTCCTAAGCGCTTCATAAGTTTTTCGGCTTTTCAAGAAGGCTCCTGCTTCAGGTGGCCACTTAACTTTTTACTTTCTAAGTGTTTTTATAAGATTGAGCCGGGCCGTTCTGGTTCAGGGACAGTATATTAGCATATGTTTAACTGTCTCAGGTTTCCTGTCGCAGGCACATATTGGGTCCTCGGACAGATTGAATTTGTGGAGTTTCGCTCTGAAGTCCCCGTGGCCTGTGAGGAACTGGGTGGTGTAATGGTCCAGGACCAGCGGAAGACTGCACCT